TGTTGAATATTTTCCCATCTTCATGAAGCGTTGTCACGTGAGTGACGCTGCACAAGGAGCACATTTCTCAGTTATATACACAGGTGCTGCCTTCAATCCGCAGGTCAGGTACTCAAAATACAGGCTGCATGGATGGGTCACGAGTGGATAAGCTTAATCATTGATTATGCAAACTTTAACTACTTTCTCTAAAATATTAAAGTGTTTTAAGCTATTTTATTTGACAGACTGTAATCTGAAAACATGTTCAGTGCTGCTAATACATTGTAAAAGCCTGTCTTGCTTATTGAAATTACTTGATTAAACTAATTGAATTGAAACTCACCAGCAATGGATGATTTTGTCATTAACAATGAAAACAGTTTAATATAGGATACGTTTAATATAGTAAATATTTCACTTTAATTTTATTTAAGCTAGATTTTATTTTATTTAACAAACCAGTTTGCGCTGAAGCATATAGTGGACTGGTTTTAAAAAACTTCACCTCAGATGTTAGTCATTACTCGTGTTTATCTAGAGGATAATATACAAAAAAAACATTCAAATTAAGATACAAATTATACCAAACAAAATTCAAATACAATTTTTTTTTTCCCCAAGAAAAATATGCAAATCATATTTTTGTTTAAGCCTGTCTACTCAACTGTGCAATGGCTGATTTGTTCCGCTCCATAGAAATCAAGGATTTAAATAATGCTTTTCTGTAATTGTTGTATCACAAACCTCTGTCATGTATTTGTTAATTGTTTTAATATGTCATTATTTTCTCTATAAATGTTTTTTTTCAGAATCCTTTAATAAAATAGTCAATATTATAAAAACTTTACTGTTATACTTTGAAACATTGTGCTTGCATTTTTTTGTGTGTAAAAGTATTCATTCCATTCACAGAAAGGAAATTTAAGCTGTATTTTACTGTAAAAACCCAAACCAAACAGTAGCAATTAATAATTTATTACATTCATGTTAAAACAAGAAGATTGTGTTGTATCCATTCAATAAATGTCAATAGAATACATACAATGATAGAATTTTCATTTTTAAAATAACTACCCCTTTAAGAATAAGAGACAACAGTGGAAGGAAGGTTCTGAAAAATATGTGTTCGAGTCAATGTGTGTGTGGTGAAAGCAATTCCAAGAAACTGGGCTATTAATTCACCAGAGATTCCTGCCTTTGTTTTTCCCACACTTAAATAAAGAGAAGTGAGGTCGTTCTCGAGGGACTGCTCAGTTTTTAGATATATTCATGCATTGATGTGACCCTGATTACACTGAATGTCAAAACCGCTCATGAAGCGATGACGCTGCTGAGAACTCGAAATGAGACAATTACATTTTTAAGATGTTACGTTGTTCTGAATTGCTGCTAGCGCAAGTCCTCATACTATTTTTGTTCAAACTTTGTGTTCTGCCAGAAAAGTGGTAATGAAACCTTTGGAGAAACTATGTTCTCCAAAAAAAAGTTGACCTTAAAAATCACAAAAGGCTCCTAAAGTTGTGGCGCTACACAACTTTAGGCTTCCAACACCCGCTTATAACACACAAGAAAGTTACTGGTGACTCGCACAAGCATGGATGGTTCAAGCAGCAGCTCCAGCTCTAGTAATGAAGAAATGATTATTGTTCACAAGAGCAATAAGCAGCTAAACGTTCATTTCGCCTCTGGGCATTTTCTTTAATGTGAGCTCGCATTGACAGTTTTGCTCTTGAGTGCCTCAAGTGCTGTTTACTGTAACTTCAGCAGCTCCGTGCACGTGAACAAAAGTGACAATCTGATTGGTGGAGAAGGTTTTGACTTGGCGCATCAAAACAAAAAACGAGCGTATGGCGTTTTTTTCAAATGACGCTTTTGCGCCTGACGTTTTGCACGTTGGTGTGCACAAACACTTTGACGGCCTTCATATAGTCATAAGGCGTTAAACGTCGACAGAAAACGCGAACAAAAAAACATCTTGGTGTGCACGGGCCTTTAGACACATGACACTCAATAGTTAACATAACCATTTAACATTAAGATCCAGGTCAGAGCTTCAAAAGGCTCTCATTCACTGTTGTCATTTGCTAAATTAAGGCAGGTTTTTGCTGTGGTCTCTCTGCGAAAGGAATGTTTTTAAGTCCTTGGGTTTGTTGAATGTTCAAATGTTAACATTAGCAGGCTTAGCCAAAACCAATGGGAACAATTTGGACCTCGCTATCAAAACAGTATCTCTAACAAAAACAAGCTAACCTTACTTTCCGCTCTCAAGTATAAACTGAACAGAACAAGACATAAATATTTTGTGTTTAGCACCTTTTTGCCACTAAACACCTGCTCAATTTCCTAGGAAATTAAGAAATGATGCCTCAGATACTGAAATTATCAACAGGCCCTGACCATTACATTCACGTATTCAGTTCATCTGTCCACTCAAATATGCAAACAACTGCATTCCCAACACATCTTTCCACTTCTACTGTAAGCTAATATTAAATTACACTATAAACCTTTCAAGACAGACCTACTCTAAAGTGCAGAGGTTCTTAGAGCTTGGTATATGCCAGAAGCCATAAGTATTAACTACTGGAAAATTAGTTTTCAATTGAAAAAAGTCTTTACATTTATCCAAAAAGAGAACATCTTTAATCTAATTAATAATTGAAAAAATAACCGGAGCAGGTGAATTGTCATAGCAGTAATGCTAACACAGCCAGTTATGCTACATGCAAAAGTAAGTGTATCTGTGAAAATTCTTTAAAAAGGCAGTAAAAGCACATGGTTCACAAAGCGTTTTACATCTTTTGAAGAAACAAAACAGATACTGTTAGCTTTTGTTTGAATTGTTTACGCATCAACAAAGAAGTCTCTCAGCAACCAAAGTGCAAGATATAAACAATGTTATGTAGAGCTAGCATTTGTTTTTCGTGTGCTGGTTTCCTGGTTATCAAATAGGAATATCATCTTTCATGGTTACGTATGTTTTTACAAATCTTTTAAAATAAATCAAACAAAATTTAATTTAATTTAATCAAAAAATTTTATAAAACAAAATTAAATTAAATAAAAAAGTAAATAAAACAAAATAAAATAAAATAAGAAATAATAGAACAAAACAAAAAATTAAACAGAACAAAACAAACAAAACAAAAAGAATTAAAAATAAAATTAGTTCAAGTTAGTTATAAGCAATTATAAATAAAAAAACAAAGCAAAACATTCCCATCTTTAAAAAGCCACCCAATTCCTCTGACATCTAAACCTCACTGGTTTTTACAACCAGACCCTGCATCATGTTTATGTGTTTTGGAAGAACTCATTGATATTTCTCATTTATTGAAGACTTGTTGACTTCCAAGATGGCAGACAAATTGTTGTGTTGTCAATTTTGACAATAATGTTCACATATCTATGGAAAATTCCAATATTTTGAATTTAACTAAATACATTGTGAAGAAACGGAGTACATACAGTTGAAGTCAGAATTATTAGCCCCCCTTTGAATTTTATTTTTTAAATATTTTCCAAATGATGTTTAACAAAGAAAGGACATTTTCACAGTATGTCTGATAGAGCTGCACGATTCTGGCTAAAATGAGAATTAGGATTTTTTGCCTAAAATAAAGATCACAATATTCTCACGTTTCTTTAGACATAAAATAAAGGTTAACATGAGTAGGCTATTGTTATTGTTATTCTCAAACATGTGGTAAAACAGCAATAGGTTTTGTGTAGCTGCACTGTTGGTTAAAAGGCTAAATTTTGTATAGACTTGGAATGGTGGACTTGAACAGACTTTAGATTTGTCCTGGTCATTAATGCTAATGAAGGAAATTCTGATGTTGAATTATTGTGTTTGAGACATATGCTAACAATCTGTAATTTCCCACTTAAAATCCGTCACTGACTTGATTTTCGTGAATACAGAAGACTGGGTGGGTATTTTTGCATTTCGGCCGGTTTTGGATACTTTTTGGGCTGGAATCAGTTAGCTACATCTGGCAACATGTGTGAGCTTTCGGTTTCATTTTCACTGCTATGAGCGGTTCACTTCTCTCGCGGCCCCCAAACAATCACATTGTGCCACAAACTGAATGTTATTTATAACATTATAACCTGTAATTCACTGTCTATGCAGGTTATGTTCACTAAAATAGACTTAATTCAGAGGTGCGCGCCTGCCCTCTCTGTGGTAACAGTTGACAGTCAGCTCACGTCACGTGTGATTTTGCAGTCGCAAATACATTTCATGAGGACAGAAATTACATTTTTAGGGTTAATTATACCTTATGAATACAGCATGTGACTTCTTCAACACCATGGAGGTGTCCACGTTGCTGAACAAAGTATGTAAACCAAGACTTGTGCAGCCACCATTGCTTCTCTCCTGAACTTGAAAATATGATTGACAGAATCGTAGAAATTCTGGATTAAGATCGTCTAGGGGGTCAAATCGAGATCGCAATCTTTTTACGATTAATTGTGCAGCTCTAATGTCTGATATTTTTTTCTTCTGGAGAAAGTCTTATTTTTTTTATTTCGCATAAAATAAAAGCAGTTTTTATTTTTTTTTTAAAACATTTTAAGCTTAAAATTATTAGCCCCTTAAGCTATATTTTTTAATAGTCTACAGAACAGACCATCATTATACAATAACTTGCCTAATTACCCTAACCTACCTAGTTAACCTAATTAACCTAGTTAAGCCTTTTAATGTCTCTATAAACTGTATAGAAGTGTCTCAAAAAATATCTAGTCAAATATTATTTGCTGTCATCATGGCAAAGAAAAAATAAATCAGTTATCAGACATGAGTTATCAAAACTATTATGATTGGAAATGTGTTGAAAAAAATCTTCTCTTCTTTAAAAAGAAATTGGAAAAAAAATAAACAGTGGAGCAAATAATGTAGGGGGGCTAATAATTTTAACTTCAACTGTACCTAAATCTGGGCACATTTTTTACACAATAAATATACCAATATAAACCATTCTTTTTGTGTTGAAATAAACTCCACTTACCGGAACAACTTCTATGCCTCTTTTCCTGTAAGAAAGAAACAAGGAAAGTAATGTTATTTCCTTTTTTACTTGTTTTCCAACATAAAAAGACAAGGAAAGGATATTAAATTCAACTTTTTCAATTCGAGATACCATCATAATGGACTGCATTACATTCTGACATGAAAATGAAACCTAGATAAAAATATCAGTTGCCTAGCAACACAAGAGTTGAGATCCAGAGATCCTGACGGGCTGTAGGAAGCGAATCAACACCACGGAAGCTCCTTTACACTCAAACCTGTCCAAAATCAGCCGTCAGCCTGCCTGTGCTGTCAACATCTTTACATTTAGACAGCACATAACAGAGAGCAAACGCTACAAAACAAAATGCCAGTCCAATGTCAGAATTCACCACAGTGTTTGCTATGTCACGTTCTGCACTAAAATTTAAGTTAAATACATCCTACAGTTCATGTATGATCCTTAAAACTGCCTGTGTAAAGAGGATCCAGCAGAAAGCAGCTGGCGGGAAAGCCCTCTGGATGATTTTAAGGGGTCACGAAAAAGCCAGGCAACTGTTGCCTCTTCTTACGTCAGATTATTCCAAAGCCAATGTCAAAATAATCACCAACTGCTTAAGCCGAAGAGTATTTATTATTCTGTCAGGAAACCTCAGGACTGAGTTTGTGAGAGTTACCAAGTCTCAAAGCATCTTTTGGGGACTTGTGGGTAAATTTGTTATAAGAGGAAGATGATTTTGATGGGAGATGGATTAAAATATATATATGGAAACAGGAAAAAAAATTCCAAAATGCCCTAGAGTTTCAAGTGGTTTCCACAGAGCACACAGAAAGCGATGGGTTAGTCAGAGAAACATGCCTCAACTCCTCTTGAATGTGAAGCATGTTGTAACCACAGTGTTAATCTAAACTTGTGCCAGAGGGTAAGAAAAAATGACACCTACTGTGAAAGGAAAGCATTTAAAGGGAAATTTATATTGACTGTACAAATCAAAGGTCCTTAGCTAATGCAGTCTGAACTAAGGAAAATGTCGACACTCCTTTAGAAAGTGACTGGAAGGATCATGTTGTTGTCCTAAATACTTTCCTACCTACTGAGAGCTTTCATTTCATTTTAAATTTTTTTGTCTGACAAATATGAAGAATTGAGATTAGCAAACTTTAGGCCTTGTTTGCACCTGATATTGATTGGTACCTTTCATGTACAAAACAACTTTTTGTGAGTGTTAGTGCTCAGTACAGCATATGAGTACTACTGAAGGCATCATTAGATAAGTAAGTATATATATTGTTATACAAGTATATATATTGTTTTTTACAGTACAATTATTTGCCCCCTTTTAATTTATTTTTCTTTTTGAAATATTTCCCAATAATGTTTAACAGAGCAAGTAAATGTTCACAGTATGCCTGATAATATTTCTTCATTTCTATTTTTTTCAATATTCTACAGAACAAACCATCGATATACAATAACTTGCCTAATTACCCTTTCTGCCTAGGCAACCTAATTACCTAGTTAAGCCTTTAAATGACACTTTAAGCTGTATAGAAGTGTCTTGAAAAATATCTAGTAAAATATTATTTACTGTCATCATGGCAAAGATAAAATAAATCAGTTAATAGAGATTAGTTATTAAAGGGCACCTATGGTAAAAAAAAATCTACCTTTCAAGCTGTTTGGACAGACATGTGTGTATATATAGTGTATAGACCGTCATATTGGGGTGATATAAACACCCAGTCTTTTTTTTTTTTTCAATTTAACAACATAAAAACGGTGGACCAATTGAAGCAGTTTTCAAACCGACCGCAACTTTACGTAGGAGAGCGGTCCCCCCGCCCACCAATATTGATTGACAGCCTCGCGTCATGATCATATCCTCAGTTTCTTGTTTCACATCCGCCATTTTCAGCATGTGAGTCAAAGCGATATCACTAAAAGGAACACCCTTGCTCTATTTTTAGATAAAAGGCTCATTGGGCTCAACACAAGATCAATATTCTCCACATTATCGCGAATTATTGGTTGTACCTTTTGCGTGGCGCGGCGTGTTCAGTATGTGTGTGGTTATCAGTCTCGGTGTACAAGCTCGGCACTTGTACACCCAGACTATACAAACTATACAAAGACACAAATGATTTTGTACTCTCTGCTTGGTCTGTGTCTGAGTTGTACATGTACGGCTGAATGCTGATTCTAGCTTAGCTTAGCTTCTCTCTCTATGACTGTCTGTCAGCCTGTCTGTCGCAAACACAGAGCGTGGGAGCTTTTGGCTCCGCCCCCTTGTTACGTTGGGTGGGAAGCCGAAAATAATTTTCATGTGAAGCAACACACCCCTAAAACAGCAAACTGTGTAAACGCCCCAACATGACACTTTTTAACACATTATAATAAAAACATCTGAGTAGTGTGTTGAATTGAACCTAAACTGGCACTAAGAAATTAAAATAAAATTTAAATTAATTTTAAATCATAAAAAAGAGGGTAAACTATGTAACCTTTAAAACTGTTAAGTTCAGAAATGTATTAAAATAAATCTTCTCTCTGTTAAACAGAAATTGGGGGAAAAATAAACAGGGGGGCTGATAATTCTGATTTTAACTGTAATTTCACTAAATGTCTTAACACTGGAACTGAAAGAATTCTTCAACAACTATAATGGCCATAGCAGCCATTCTGAACTTTCATCTGAAGTCTGGGATATACCAAGCCAACAGTCGACCACTGAGCTTCATCGGGCCACCTCTGGTCACCTCTGGTTGGATCGAGTTGGCCTGATTCAACATGTAGAATCAGCATCAGCTGAAGAGAGTGCTCTGATTGGTTATTCAGCAATGAATCAGAGCAGGAGAACGAAAACTGAAGTGACGTACACAAGTAAACAATTCATATCAAGAAACCAGCTGTAAATTCGATACATTTCTTATTTTAACAAACGATATGATATGGATTATTAGATTATCAGACATATTTGCATGAGTGAATCCCTCTGTGGTGACTGACAATTATTTCGATAATACTGACTGCTTTGTTTATGCGGATTTCATCTTTCGCTTTTTCATTTTTTGTGGATTTAGAAAACTGATTACTTTCGATTACTTAAGACACATCCTCTCACACAGACGCAGAATTCGAGCCGTCATTTCAGTCAGCTGTCGTCTGTTTGATGTGTTCACAAGTAGCTTTTTGGTCCTGGTGGAATCAACAGTGATCCAACAACACTGTTGGTTTTTATCTGTGTTAATTATTTTGGTCTTGGCTTGGTGTGTCCCAGCCCTAAGTACTGAACTGTGCTGAATTGAACTTTTGTCAGGTCATTTTTTCCCCCAAAATCTCAATATCAATATATATATATGTATTTATTTTTTTTGCTATATATAGCCCAGTGTTTCCCAAGCTATGTTCCTGAAGGCACCCTAACAGTACACATAGTCAACCTCTTCATAGTCAAACAGACCTGAATCAACAAATTAGAACATTAGAAGAGACTCCAAAAGCTAAAGTGAATGGGTCAGATAAAAGAGACATTGACAATTTGTACTGTTGGTGTGCCACCAGAAACGGATAGGAAAACACTGATATAGCCTATATTAGTGTATGAGTTACTAGACCTCCCCCGAAGGTGCAAACCTCACATTGTCCGACAAATAGAAAAGCAAGTTTTGAAAGATGTCTGAAGTACAGTTACGTTTTTGTTAGCAAAAAGTTGCTAGGCAACAGAGGCACATATATTCAAAGGAACAGGAAAAAGTAGTGGATGCTGAAATGCATGCAAATGTCTATTAAAGGTAGGAATACTCAGAAATGTTCTGTATTTGCTAGTTTCAATAAAATAGCAAATGTTAGAATATACAGATATTTAGGAAAAGGTCAGGATGTTATAGTCTTAAGAGTTTTATTTTAACAAAGTTAATCAAAAATGCTCCAACAGACCACCTTGATAGTTCTAGTGATAACTCCATCTGGAAATAATTGATTGGAATGATATTGTAGTGGAGTCCATGTGAAAAACACATACCAAACTTATTATAATCATAGTTAAAACATTTTTAGGTGAACTAACCCTTTTAGTTTTATTTTTATGTATAAGAGCACACAAAAATGCCATTAGACTAAAATCAGCCAATCAGCTTTGACTTGGGATGTGAGTTCAAACAATGTTCAAACAATCATTACTAAATAAATAAATAAATAGGAATAATAAGGAAAATTTATCTAACACAGGGCAGTAAAAACTAAATTTAGTTTTTTGAAAGCAAGTGAATTTTAGACGTAGCCAGGTCACAATGACAGATGAAGGCCATTGGATTTGAAAATACAGACGGTATGTGCAGCAAAGATAGCACTGGTTTTATTTTGTTATCTAAGTCAAGCATAATACTGCCAGAAGAAAACAAAACACGGTGAGCACAATCAAACGATTATTATGACTATGATATGAAAAAAGAAAGAAACAAAAAGTGTTTTAAAGCTCCAAGGCTTCCTCATAGACTATTAAGATTAATGTAAAGATGTCATTCATACCATAAGATGAAACTATTCAAGAAATTTTATAAAACATTCAGAGTTATCTTTTCAGAGTTTCTACAAGTTTCATCACAACAAATTTAAGACTTTTTAAGACCATTATGAGTGTAATTTCAGACTTTTATAGGGCAAAAAGCTAATAATTTTTGTAATAACCAGAGAATCAATTTTTTTTACACTGTATGCCAGTGTTTCTCAACCACGTTCCTGGAGGACCACCAACACTGCATGTTTTGGTTGTCTCCTTTGTCAAGCTATTATACACCAGTGTTTCTCAACCACGCTCCTGGAGGACCACCAACACTGCATGTTTTTGGATGTCTCCTTTGTTAGTCAAATCCATTACAGGTCTTTCAGTCTCTGCTAATAAACTGATGATCTTAATCAGGTGTAAGAGAAAGGAAAATGTGCAGAGCTGGTGGTCCTCCATGAACGTTGTTGAAAAATACTGCAATATGCAATTCTTTTAGCATTTAAAACTATTTTTTTTAT